AAAATCAGATGCGCTTTTTGCTAAACTACAAAATAAATCATGGAGAATTAAAGATATTGCTTTAAAAGCCTAATATAGTTGAATAAGTAAAAGCTGATTCTTCAAGGAATTACTTCTTAGTTATTCTGAAAAACATGTATCTGTTTCCATGGAAGACCTCTCCCGCACTTGGAAATTTCAACACGGAGGGCATTTATGGCCATTGGAGAAACACCATCTAAGGCATCTTCAAAATGGAGCCAAGTCCACCATGGCTTTTCATTTAAACATTCACTTTTTATCTTGGAGCTTGTCTTACAATCTCAGGGCAGTTATTTTTAAAGCAAATGAAAGCCAGGCAGCCTGAGGATGCCAGGGCAGGTTGTATGTCCTTCTCAGGAATGTGTAGCTAGAAGCAGGGGGCCCCCTTGCCACTCCGGCAACAGGAAGTGCAGCCCTCCCGCCCTCCATTTCCTAAGTCCACGTCCTGGTCCTTTTCTGATGCATGGGCCCAGGCCCCAGTGTTCATGGAGCTGAGGATGCCGTGTGCGTGTAAAGCTAAGATGCCATTCACAGGCTGTCTCTCTATTCTGCTGGCTTCTCCATCCATGTTCTGTAATGTCCATCTTGTTTCTCACTGTGTTTTTAGTTCTGTTTCCTAAACTCCCCTGCAGCCTCATTCAGTACTGGTATGTCGTTGGGCCATGTGGACAAGTGCGTGCTCGGATTTGGAAAGCTTTTCACTCTGTTCTGGGCTTTGCTCCATGTTTGCTGAGTTTCTCTTCCCTCCCCTTTGAAATAGTGTTAGACATTATGTTCTGTGTCCACCACATATAAACCAGATTTGTGACCAGGAGGGCTACATATATTAAGTCTCTTTGAAAGGAATCTTTGCTGTTCTGCCATAGAAATGATTTGCTCTGATGCAAATATTTGACACTTGCTGAAGAAAACCCTAATGCTTATTGAAACTTGAGACAAGAACCAGCAATCCTGAAACTCTGTCATGAAATTCTAGATGCTGCCAACTTTAAGGTCCCCTCAAAATATTCATTTATATTTTGGAACGTAAGCACTTAGAATCCAGAAAACCAGGCAACACTCCAGCAGGTGCCCCCAGCAGACACATGCTCTGCCATTTTGCTTTACTAGTCTTGGGATTTGTCACTTGGGCTCTTGGGGTACCAGAAAGAAGATTGAAAGCAAGGACAGAGCATTTGAATATATTAAGCACAGTAAGAATCCTGCAATTGATTGATCTCCCATGACTGAAAAATCGGCTTATGAAGCTGATATGGAAAGAGCTAAAAATGAAAGCTAAGAAATGTATATATGCGGTAGCTTCGCAGCACAGTAGCTAAGATCACTAACAACTGAGAGTCAACCAATACAAGGAAGGACTTACTTAAGGAACAAAATGGCTGTGAATGTGATAGATACAATATTCTATGACATATACACTATTATCTGTAAACAGTGTCTACATTTCCAAGCTGATGATGATAATGATGATGGTAATATCTTCTGTATATGATCTTTCATCTGACACCATATATATTATTTTGCCTAAGTAATGCACTAAGTGTAAAAACAATGTCTTAGGGCCCACCTCAGTTATTTCCTTCTAGAATGGAATTAAAGTTTTATCACTTCAAGATAGGGTGTTTAAGTTAGAAAAAGAAAAACTTGAGAATTTTGCTTTTTCTTTTAAAATGCCAAAAAATGGGAGCACCTGGGTGGCTCAGTTGGTTAAGTGTCCAACTCTTAATTTCAGCTCAGGTCTTGATCTCAGGGTCGTGAGTTCAAGCCCCATGTTGGGCTCCACACTGGACATGGAGCCTACTTAAAAAAAAAAAAAAAATGCCAAAAATGTTTAATGCCTTTGGTATTTCAAGGGCTACGAATTTGGTAACTAGCAACAGTACTCTGAGACCTTGTTCCCAATGAGCCATTGTGACATGTGGAAATCATATTGTGCAGAATCCCTTAGATGGGTGCATTGTTGAGTCTCTCTTTGCCTAGTGCTTTAAAATGTTTTGTAGGAGGTTTTAATTGATTCTAGCATTAAATCTGTTTATAAGGACTTGAACATAGTAGTGAGGTTTTTTGGTTTTTTTTAAAGCAACTAGACAAATCAATGGTTGCCGAAATAGGCAGCCAAATAAAGAACTAGGCCCAACAAGAAACAGCATTCAGCCAGAATTCACCCATCGGGAATTCAGACACTCACTCCCCAGCCTTTAAGAATCATCACCCATATCTGAGAAGCGATGGGCTCCTACTGCCACTTGCCAGTAGAGCATCTCCATGATAGATTTTTAATAACTTGGGCAAATGCTAATTCTAATAACCTTAAACCTTTGCCTCCCATCTATGCAGATATTTTTGTGTGTGCATGTCACTGGCTAATAATCATCATCAAAACAAATTTAATGGAGTTTCATCCAATTGGATATTGTCACCAAATGTGAGAACATTTCCCTGAGATGTCTGATGTTCTTCTACACGTGCAGAAAGGGTAGAGTTGAAGGGCGGAGGGCAGCGTGGTTCAGAAGCAGGAACATCCAGTGCTCGGGATATGCAGAAGGAGTTTTCAAAAGACAACCTCAAATAAGGCGAGAAAGCTGTCTTTCTAGACCTTCTTTTGAGAATAGCTCACAAGAAGTATTCTGTTTTTCAATTATGGATTACTCTTGTGAATAAGTTCTAATGTTTACAGGAGTAAAGCATTCCTCTGAAGTGAAATAGTTAAATTGGGGTTATTGAGGATCTCGTGGGAAAGTGCTAAAAAGGAGATGCCATTGTGACCCTGTTGCTCAATACTAGCATCTGTCTGCCTTTATTCAAGAGCAAGGTGAAGGTTAATCCTTCAGTGGTCCTTACTAAATTCGGCCATTAATAGCTCAAGAATTCACAAGTAGGCTATTTTCAGTCATTCATTTGCAGACATTTATAAGGCACCTGGTCTTGGCCAGGCACTGTGCTGAGCACAGAAAGATGAATGAGACCTAGTTCTAATTCAGCCTTAGATTTAGAACAGGATTTACTTCTACATGTAAACCACGTTCTTTCTTCCCCTGCTTGCCTCTACCTGTGTCTTTTCATTTTTTTCAGATGTGAGCTAGTTATTTTTCATTAGAAGAGTGATAATAAATGAAATAACCTTTTTAAAAAAGTTAACCTTTTAATAGATCAGCAGCTTGGGGCGAAGCATCATAATTTTTAGAGGCTAATATCTGATTTAAATAGTAAAGTCTACATAATAATGTGTTGGAAGCTAGACATGAAACTGACTCTTGAGGAAAAAAAGAAAAGCTTCAGAACACGATAACCAAAAACCTGGAATCTAAATTGAAGTCAATAACAAAGTCAAATCTCATTTGGGAGATCTTGCTGCCCATTCAGTATAGATGCGTGCTCTGGTTAACCTAAAAATACACATATTGAGTAATTAAAACTGTAGTAAGCGTGTTATTTTAAAACTCTAGCAATTGATATCTTTTATACTTTGTGGGCCAGATTTAGAACAACTTGCCTTACTTGAAGAAATCGGCTCGTGCTCTGTTTTCTGAAGATCTATGATTTATTTCATATTGTTAGCATTAATTGGTAGATAAATTACACTTTATGAAAACTTACAACTTTTGTGCTTCAAAGGGCACTATCAAGATAGTGAAAAGCAACCCACGGAATCAGAGGAAATGTTTGCAAGTCATCTATCTATCTGATAAGGGACTTGTATCCAGAATATATAAAGAAGTCTTACAACTCAGGAACAAAAGTAATCGCATTATAGTTCATTAACTTTTGATAGTCCCCTACACCTTCTGGTGTATTCTTGGGGCAGATGTTTTCTCAGACATGAGGTAAGAGGATACTTTAGGGCAATAGCTGATCTCTGACAGCCCAACACAGGCCTCAGTTCATCCTGGTTGGAAGGGAGTGACATTGGCCTTGGTGGCGCTCAAGGCCAAGTGCCATCTAGCTTCTCTAGCCCCTTCCCTGTTCTCTCCTCCAAGAACACCGTGCAATCCAGCCACAGTGGCCAGGGCAGTTGTTCCTACACACCATGGCCTTTCATTCCTCAGGACGTGCAAGCCCCCTAGAGTCTAGGCCTGCTCACCCCTCGGCCCACCCACCTACCTGGTATATTTACTCCTTGATGCCCTGCTCAGTCTAACATCTTAGCTCTCTGCAAGAATTGATGGCACCCTCGCCTGAGCAAACACGTCCATGTCATAGTCTGTCTCCTTAGGTAGCTTCTGAGACGCACCCCCCTCACAGGCAGGGCTGACATCTCATTCATCTCCCTGTCCTCAGTCGTAGCTCAGTGCACAGCCATGGTAGATGTCCAGGTTTGTTTCACAGATGGAATTGTTGGACTGGGTGGAGCCTCAGTGGAGCCTTGGAAGAGGCAGGTGGAGAGAGGTCCCAAAGTCCCTGGGAGAAAGGGCTCTGACTCTACCGGGTATATTGTGCAGTGAGGAAGCAGAAGCATTTGCTTCAAGTGCAGGCACTTCGCATTGCTAAGGGGAGGGACTGGGTGATCTCACAGGCTCCCAGACATAGCCTTCCATTCAGAGAAATCTACTCCAGCCTCTGCCATCGTGCCCGGAAGTGACTGTATTTGGGCTCGCATATCCCGCCCCTTCACATGCTTGGGATTTAATCATCTGACACCTGACCCTGAATCATTAGCGAGTGACCTTCCATGACTCTTAATGTACTTTCCATCTAATCAGTTTGCTGCCCGCTCACAGCCTTCAACCGCATGCCATTGGAATGACTCCTCCTACCGCTAGCTGCTTTTCACCCAGTTCCACGCAAACTCTAGGCTCTCCTGCGGAAAACTAAACCTTCCATCACCTTGTGCGCCAAGTTGATGAATTGAGTTTGTTTCTTTTGTTTCTCCTTTTGGATGTACCTCCTTCCGGTTTGTTTTGAATTTTTATTATGCTTGCTTTGTTTTCTTTATTGCTGTCCCTTCTCTTATTTTGTTTTCTCCATTCTTCTCATTGGAGGCAATGAGCCGTCCAGCGGCCGGAACTCCCCTCTCCCTTACCGGCCAGACAGTCGTCCTCTCACTCCAACCTATGCCCAGGCCCCTAAACATTTCCATGTTCCAGGTAGGAGCTGACACGGTCTTTGTCTGGGTGTCCTGTCATGGTGTAGAATGTAGCCCTGTTACCTGTCTCGTCTCATTGCTCACGCTCTCTCCATCGGGATGCACACAGTCAACAAACCCTAAATTGCACGATCTGACCCAGAGGGCCTTTCAGAAGTTTGGGGTGTGAAATGCCAAGGATTGTATGGAAGGTTTAAGTTTTCTCAAAATTTTTTGAAGGGGGATGGGAAGCAGAGAGTGAAGGAAGGAGGATTGAGTTGCTTTGTTTTATTTTTACTAAGATTTCAATTTTACCTCTATATGAGTACCCTTTGAAGTTACCACTCTGTGGTTTGGTGTCATTGACTAATTATCACAATGACAATCTACCTATTGTCTCATCCTCGAGAATGAACCACAGCATCACTCAGGAGTACTTTTATTTTTTTTCCTGTTTGTCTCCAGCGTGGAGATTCTTTCTATGGACTTTGCAGAGAAGTATAAAATTGGATCAATTGGTTGGTCCTTCTGCAATGTATAACCAACTGACTACCTTCTTAGCCCACAAAGGTATCTTGCAATTTAGGCTTGGTGCTATAAGCTTTGCTGAAGTCATAAGCATTTGCTGTCACGGTACAAATAGTAATTTGCCATCAAGAACTGGAAAACTCAGAACCCATCAATATTTTAATGTTTAGGTCAACTCAGTTTTTAAGGGCAAGATTGGCTATCAGAGGTCACGATATTTTTTTTTTCCATCGGAAGTACATTGTTTTGTTTCTTTTAAGCTCCTGAAAGTGGTTTAATAAATTACCTATTATTAGGACGCATATTTGGAATCTGTAATAGTTTCTTTTCTTTTGCATTCCAAACTTACCTAATAAAACAGAGGAAAGTTCAGTGAGATTCATACCGCTAAGATAGAACTGCCTTTTCAAATAAAGCTTCACTGAACCTTGAAAATCAGTGTTGTACATTTGCAACCTTTCTGCGTGAAGAATGCCCCCACCAAGATACGGTGCCCAAGATTGGGGAGGGACAGACCTTTTGAAATTTCCTGAGTATTTGCAGTCAAAGCAAAACTGTAGCATTATCAAATGGGGTCCTGTATAAATAAATGAGTAACATTCGGCATCGCTTTTCCTTTCTTTTTTTTTTTTTTTTATAAATTTGACCTATCCAAGTTAGGATCCTCTCAAACATTCTGTCAGCACATCAGACAAGCCTTGCACATAAAAACTGTTTCTATGTTTTAAAAGACTACTCTTAATTATATTACATTGCTTTCCACTGTTCCACTCATTAGTTGAAAAGAAATTGAGCCCCTGGTATCTACTGCGAGCTCAATTTCTAGACAGTAGCAATTTGGGGACCTTCCCCAAACTGGTTATGTCTTCCTCTCCACTAGAGTCCCGTCCCTCCACTGCTTCCATTTCTTCCTGTTTTGATCCCACTTTTAGTGAAGTACGTATTTGCAATAAATGGCTCATGAATTAGTTACATCTCTGTATATCCTAAGATGTATTACAAAGGATTCCATATCACTTGTCTGTAGTAATTCACTCATTCCTGGAACAACTTCTTCCCGTAATTTCAATCTTTGTAATACAAAAGTTAACCTTCCGGGTTGTTTTTGTTCAAGACTCTTCGGTTTGGTTTGCCTCTCGGTTGATCTGTTTTTCCCATTGCTGAACCGGTTCCCATAATCACACACGTTTGCTTTTCATTTCCACAGATCAAGGGATCAACATTTACCGAAAACCACCCATCTACAAACAGCATGGTAAAACCCACTTTCCTCCGCGTAGCTTTTAAGTAGCAGCGCCCGCCGAACTCTTTGCTGTCCTCTGAAAGGCTTTTCTGCTGCTGCTTTTGAGAATCAAACTGGGGCACCCAGCGTATTATGCCTTTATGGGTTCCTAAGATGAAATTATTGTGAGATTGGTTTTCCTAGAGAGAGAACGCTTAGCTTGGTTAGGAAGCTCCCAGTAATTTACAAACACTTTTTTTTTTTTAGCATCAAATAATTTAACCAGCCTCTATAATAATTTGGATGAGCTTCTAATTAGTTTAATTAAATTCATGAAGGCCCACTACCTAGAAAAATTAACTGGACTAAGCCTACATCAACTCGACTGTCCAATTCCCCAGTTTCTTATGGGCATGCAGATGTCTATGCCTCGGGGTGGAATGGACAGGACACACTCCATGACCAAGGACCTGGGCATGTAGATGTCTATGCCTTGGGGTGGAATGGACAGGACACACTCCATGACCAAGGACCTGGTCCCAGGCCTTTCCCTCGATGGTTCTATGATATCATGGACACAATTTCTCTGTCCCTTAGTTTTCTCATAGGCAACAACCAGTGAGTTAGGCCAGCTTGTCTCTGAAATCCCTGCAAACTAAAATCCCTAACATGGATTTATAATTGTGTTTTCCTTTTCTGGAAATACAGCATTTTTAAACCCAGGAAATCACATTACCATAGGTAAATCACATTTCCCTCCACCATTTTTAGGTCTTTATAAATTAGGTACTGTAAATCTTTGTGAATGGATAGAAAGCCAATACTGGTCTTCAGGTGATTTCAGAAAATCATACACAAAATGTGCCTGGAAATTTGAAGGCTGCCTTTAAAAAATCTAGTTGACGTTAATGAGTCCTTAAGGATTAGGATGACATCAAAAGCAAAGAAAGTTGAAAATGTGCAAGGAAAAAAATTTAGGCCAATATTCTAGGGGAAAAAAAGACAATGTACATACTGTAATGGTTCTAGAACTGTGATTTTTTTTTCTTTTTTTTTCTTTTTTAAGATTTTACACCATGTGCTTGCTTTTTTCAAGTTTGTTAACATTGTTTTTGTTTGTTTTTTTATGGTTTAATGTCTTCTCACCCACTCATTAACATGTGAATGTTTACTGACTTCACCAATTCTAATGCGTAAGTACTGCTTGAAGTCATGCTTTTTTTTTTTCTAAATTTAGGAATGAGACTCCCAAGAGTTTGGTTTATCAAAGTAGAAACTTTTTCTTACTAAAATCTCTAAGGCCCTGCCTCTCTAAGCAAAAGAATCAGATAATTAAGATTTAAAGAGAGTAGATCGTGTTAGCTTATTTATTTGAAAGAGACTGGCTTTTTTTCCTGAAATGCTCTCTGACTTGACTCTTTCTTTGTCATCATTAAGAGTAGCTCAGTCAGAGTGTCTTCCCAAAGGACATTGTGCAAAAGAGAAGTTCCATGGGATAGAACAAGACGGCATGCCAAAAATGGGTGTCTGGGCCCCGAAGCATTTGGAAAATGCTAGATTTAAATAAAGTCACACTTTTTTTTTTTTTTTGGTAATGCAGAACGTCTCCGTCTTTCATATGCTAACCCATGTTGTCCTTCTTTAAGAAGAGGATGTCCTTTGGAGTGTTTTCCAGGCTGAATGTTTAATTTTTTTCTCATGAGATTAAAGAGTCAGAGAAACACTACTCCATGCTTGGCTAAGACTTCACCCCTTATGAGTCTATAGGGTGACGTTGGTCAAGTCGCTTCAGGAAACAGAACTACAAGAATGGGGAATTCGAGCTGAGGATTCAAAAAAATTATTTCCAGATTTTTAAATATGTGAGCCCAGGGAGCAGGGAGAGTTTTATTTAAAGCATTCTAACTCTATTTTGAAATGTTTAGTAACATCCCAGGCCAGTCTGCGAAATTAGCCAGAAATCAGGGTCTGACCATTAAACCTGGTTTGTTTTGTTCCAGCTCTGTGATTAGATTTGGAACTCTAAGCCAGGGACTCCTCTAAGCAGATCCATCAAGAACCCTGTGAACTAAGGTCCTTGCTAGTCTGGCTTTTGTTGTTTTAAAGTTGGATGACTCACTTGTATGTGCAGACCCTTGAGGAAAACGAGTGTTTTGCATATATAAGGCGCCATGTTGAATTCCTTCAAGCTGAGCACGGATTTTCCCATTGCCATATCTCCTAGGACTCAAGACACATATATAATATGTAAGGATTAGAATGAACTAGACAGATGATGGCTAAAATGAACAAACACAAATACACAAAAAGACAAAGCCAGCCCTCTTCTGACTAACAACTACAGTCAAATGACAATGTCATGTTTTTAACTTAGTTCTTTAATTTCAAATTGCTAATTCAAATTTCTAATTACTCTTGAAGAGTATTATCTGATGGAACTTTCTGTGATGATGGAAATGGTCTACCTTGGTGCTTCCAGTATGGTAGCCATGAATCACAGGTGGCTACTCAGCACTTAAAATGTAGCTAGTGCAACCGAAGGACGGAAGTTTAATTTTACTCATTTGTTGGTTTCATTTAATTTAATTAATTGAAATTTAAGTAGCCATGTGTCACGAGAGCTAGTATTGGACAGCCCAGCTCCGGAACAAGGCATTTCAGATATCGAATGAAGTTTTGCTTCCTGCAGAACATAAAGAAAATGAGTTGTCACTAGGCACCACTGAGTGGCTAGGGCAGTTGATACTGGTCATAAACAGCTTTCTGGAGTTGAAATTTTTGCCAAAAAACAAGAAAACTGTGTAAGTGGGTTGTACCACCATGGCCTTACAGACGGATAGCTAAGCTCCCCCTGATTCCCACCTAGATGCAGCTGCCTTGGCAGCCCAGAGCAAGTCTTCAGAAGATATCATCAAGTTTTCCAAGTTCCCAGCAGCCCAGGCTCCAGACCCCAGCGAGATACCAAAGATTGAGACGGACCACTGGCCCGGTCCCCCCTCACTTGCCGCCGTAGGTATGCAACTGCTACAGCTAAGCCCCATGGACAAATTGGTAGGAGATTGCAAAATGAAATGCTTTCCAAATATGCAAGAAAATGTGTCCTATTGTAAAGACTTTTAAGAAAATATGACGAGAGGCAGAGAAAAGCACTGAGGTAGTAGTCATACATGTGCAAAATGCTTCAAAATTGCAAAAACCCAATCATCAGAGCCTTGCTCTAACCAACCCGCTAAGAGGCAGACAGAACTGGTCTAAAACGGATGGTTGGCATGGACTCTCAAGAGTTATTACTGCAAAATCAGTAACTCTTGAAGCCGTTGAACCAAAGCCTCCTGCCAAGAACATTGTTCTGTCTAATTAGAGTCTGGTGGGCGGATTTACTGAGTGTCCACAGAGGCGTGACTTCTTTCAGTTAAACTTGTTTTAGACTACTTCTGGGTTGTAATTACAATTCTCTTAACAAAGAAGCCCTTACACCTTTCTTGCGAGATCACGTTCTCCATCACTAAGAAGGGCTGACACAGAGTCACATATGCTCTGAAATACTACTTGTGTGAAGCTATTTGATTTTCCACCTATCATTTCCATGAAGTCTGTGCTAAAATGTCACATTTGAGCTCTTTCATTCTTTGCTTTGAACTACAGATCTATGCTTTAGGACCATGCCTGTGTTTTTACTGTTTTGTCAGTTGTGAAATCATTTGGCCTAAAAAGTCATATTAGCAAACTCAGAAGCTAATACTGAAAATTGAGTGAGTCAGCTTTACAAAGATATAACTATCTCATCACATTTCTGTTGACAACCTTTTAAAAAAGGCCTTCAATTTTCCAAATTTCCACATTTTCTTCATCATGCTTTTTCTCATCAAGTTATTTTCTGGAATAACTTTCACAAACAATGTAAGTGGATTTTAAAGCAATCTATGTTTATCCAAATACTTGAAGGAAAATCTACTTCCCTGGGTTTATGATTCACAAGTACTCTATCTATTGTGTTGTCTTAAGATTTACCTGATTCTTGTAAACTTGTGTCTTTTAGTTTTTATTAGTGGAGATTGAAGAGAGAGCATTCACAGTGACATTTATGATTTTAGGAACCAAGAATCAATCATCAGCTTTTCTCGGCCATACTATGCCCCACAGGCAGTTCCTGGAGCCTTTGGGGTTCCTAGTTCAGTCTTGCTGCTTCAAGGGGGCATAAACAGCTAAATTTAGGGGAAAGGTAGAATTAATATTTTGTTGTTAAAATCATCATCGCTAAATGGTTTAAAGCTTTTTGGGTTCCAAAATGAAGAAAAATTCTGGCCCATTAATCAAAATGATAAAAACTGAGGCCATTAGTTCAAGTTTATTTTGATTAGATTAGCAAGCTTTCCTGTTTCCTCCCACAGCCAGATTAATCCAAGCAATTTAGGAAAACAATAATTATCTTAATTTTACAACCATTCAGACAGATTCCTCCCTTTCACTCCCTGACTCCCCTTTTCCCAGAAGCTTAAAAACTATAAACGATCTGCTAGATTGGACTAAACTCACTTTTTAAGGGTCTTAACACTATTCATTGACCCATCAGTATAAAACTCTTTTGTGACCATTTTTTCAAAGGACTGAGGGAAAGAAACATTAGAGACTCATCTCTTAAAATAAAAATAAAAGCATGCTTCTTAACCAATTTATTAAGGGCAGAACATAGGGTGACCGTTATGAGGACAAGTCTAAATATTCAGAAAAAGAGAAAACTAGAAGATTGCAAAACTTGTCACAAGAGAGTGACTGTCTTACCTGTTCAATGGTCATGTACATGAATTTGGGTTCCTCCCTGTTTGAAAGTTGACCTCAGGGACATCCAAAGAATAACTCTAGACACCCCTCCCCGATACGACAGAGGGCTCTGGCCAGTGGCCTGTGGGATGACTTAGACCCAATCATAACAGCTCATGGAGTCCTAATTGAGCAGGTCAGTTGTTAGGAGGCCAAAATTCATGACTTACTGGATCCCACATTTAACTGGCCTGAAACCCGAAACCCACCAGTAGGGCTGAATTGGTGGTAGACTCTTTTTGCCTCGCGGTGTTCACGAATGTTGAAGACCACTGCTGATTTTGCCAGCTGACCAAGTTGAGCACAGGTGGACTAGTCCCGTAAGATCCCCTTGCCGTGGGGCTAACGTGAGAAGTTGTCTTTGCTGTGGAATTAGGAGCCGACATGAGACGCAGATCTAGTGGCAGAGAGGAAGATGAGGAGGAGCTTCTGAGGCGCCGGCAGCTGCAAGAAGAGCAATTAATGAAGGTTTGTCCTTAAACTACTTTGCTGCAGTCTTCAGTTCAGTTCCCTAGATCTGGATCTTTTGGATGGATACCATGGGCAAACCACCAAGTGAATGAGAGGCCGTCCCAGCCCTCGAAGGGCTGGAAATCCAGTAGGCGAGAGAAGACAGGCCTCTAGTGACCCGAAAGCAGGGTACTGAGTACTTAGTGGGTTCCAGAAGAGATGGCCTGGAAGCTGGAGGTCAGAGGGACATGGAATGTTCGAGCTTCTGCAAGGAGAGCCAGACCGCGTGGGGTATGTGTGTGCAGCGCATGTGTCAAAAGGGCCAGGTGGAGCCAAGCTGTTCACCCACGTGGTGTGACACCTGCCTTCCCTCGTGCAGGGTCTGCTGAAGGAATTCCCTTGGGATTATTTCTCCAAGGCTTTCCTGAGGACTTGTAGGACCTTGTGTGTCTATCTGAGCTAGGATGGAGGGGATAAAATGGACTGCCACCAAGACGTCCTCATTATACCCACCCCACCCCCGTCACAGCATCCTGGAAGACCAAAAGAAGGATAGTCCATTATAGCCTGGGGTAGAGGGAGCCAGGGCATTATATACTCTCCCACCAATAAGGGACTGATGAATCCCTTCACATGACATTTTCCAAAGCTACTTAATCATATGGGAAATGCACATGATACTAGTTATATGGAGGGAGAGGATACAAAGTTGCATTTATAGCATGATCCCAGTTTTGTGTGATATGTGCAAAGAAAAATGCTGGATGGATATAAATCAAAATGTAAATGGTGGTTATCTCTGAGGGGTGGATTACAGGTTAGTCTTCTTTCCTTCTAGATTTTCTAAAATCTGTGCAATGAGCATGTGTTACCCTTGTTTTCTTGTTTTTAAACAAATCCGTCTAATTTCTTTTTAAAGGATACTATCCCCAAACTCCCCTTTGCACATCAAAAATCTCCACACAGTCACACATGCCTCCTGTGGTCATCTGCTGGCATGTTGGGGAGGGCAAAGGAAGGAGAACATTTTTCTGACATGGAGCTTGGCCCATGCTTGGCTGAGAGGGGTTCAAGGTCCAAAACCTGGCCTATCCCTTGAGGAACCACCGGCCTCTGGCACCAAATGCATCCAAGCCACTCCATGGTCAGGAACTTTTTGCAGGACCTTCTAAAACAGAAACTGCCATGATGATAATTGTGGGCTTCACTCTCATCTTTCTTTTCTTTGTGATAGCTCAACTCAGGCCTGGGGCAGTTGATACTGAAAGAGGAGATGGAGAAGGAGAGCCGGGAGAGGTCGTCCCTGACAGCCAGTCGCTATGATTCTCCCATCAACTCAGGTGAGCAGCAGACCCACCACATTTTCCCAGCCGAGAGCCAGCCACTGGCCTGCAGGGAGCCCATCTGGACTGTTCCAGGAGAGGCGGGGCCATTTCTGGTGGAACCTACAGAGTGTTCTACATGAGCAGAAGTATGAGAAACACACTGCCTGCCAACTTAGCTTATGAGGATGCCGTAGTTCTTCCTTAAATGTATATTTTCTTCATGTTGGAGATGGGAGGGGCCCTTGGAGGATTTTAGTGTTTACTACATGCAAGCACTTTTGCTAGACATTGTTCCATTTATTTTCACAACATGCCAATGAAGTAGGTGATATTATTCCCATTTTGTAGATCAGGAGACAGGTATAGGAAGTGTAAGTAACTTACCCAATGTCACATTATTAATAACTAGCAAAACTAGGATTCAGGAGTCGAAACATTATAACCACAGAGTCCACATGCTGAACTGGAATGCCTTGCGACCTCTCCTTGATGCCTCACTGGCGTTGATCTTGGTTTGGTGGTTTACTAATCTTTAGAGTTCCTTCTGATCCTGTAGTTCTGTTTTATAAGAATATATAGTACAGTATCTACATGAGTCAAGAAACAAAGACTTACAAAGATGAAATACCATGCCAAGGTGTTAAGCTGTGGAGCCAGAATCCAAGCCCAGGTCTGCTTCCCCCAAAGCTCCACAGTTTATGTGATGTCATGCTGTTGATTAATGGGATATCCTATCCCATGCCTCTCAGGAACTCTACTGTGGTGAGCCAGGAGAGCATGACAACATACATGGTTGGCTTTCAGGTCAGTTATTGCCACTATACCAATTGGAGCATGAGCTTATGCATCCACATGGCCTTGGGTTCCAATCATTGCTTAGCTATTTATAAGGTGAGTGACCTTGGACAAGATACTTAACTTCTGTTAGCCCCTATTTCTTCTCCTGTAAAATGGAAATAATAGTGCTGTTAGGGTTGTATTGAGGATTTGGAGGTAAAGAAGTGCCAAGCACCTCTCCCTTCTCCACTCACTCACTGCATCACCCAAATATGGTGGTGGCCTTTCATGAACATTCGAGCCCAATATTTTTGGGGTTTATTTTTCTATTTTTCTATGTATCTTCTATTCAGTAAGGTAGAAGATGCACTGCCAGTTTCATTAGAGAATTGGGCTTCTGGGGGCACCTGGCTGGCTCAGTTGGCAGAGCATGCGACTCTTGATCTTGGGGTCATGAGTTTGAGCTCCATGTTGGGGGTAGAGTTTACTTAAAAAAAAAAAAAAAAGACGCTATTAAGAATTGGACTTCTGATTTCCTTTTTTTTTACCTTTTCTCATTCAGCTTCACATGTTCTATCATCTAAAACCTCATCTCTCCCAGGCTATGGAAAAAATGGGCTTCATCGGGTAAGATTTCTCAGTTAATTGTTCCTGAGTTGATTCCCTCTTCAATCCTCGTTGAAATGCTGATATACTCTTTGAATATGTCTGATAATATGATCTCAGTATTAGAATATACTGAAAACTGTAATTCCCCTGATCTGGTGAGTCACTTTGAGTTACAGGCAAAATAAAATATTTCTATTGAGAGAAAGAGAAATTGACTTTAGATGAAAGAATAGCCTGTATCAGCTTGTGGGAAGACTACATTAGTTAATTGTGTGGCAAATATTTCCACACTCAAGCTACAAGTAATGACTTGAGCCCTCATCTCTGCTGTAAAATGATCGGGAACGTTTATGGCTATCACCCTCCCCAGAAACCGTAGAACAAATGCAATTGCATGGCTAGCTTCATGGAAAAATGTATTTTTATTTATTGGCAAAAAATAACTTGCTTACCCAGCGCCTGCTGGCATTGGGTGCACTGCAAAAGACAAAGAGGTTTCACAATAGTAAAACAAATAAGGAAGGTCCAGGAATTCAGCTTGGGAAGAATTCTGAGGATTTTGTAAATCCTTCCTTTTCACATGACTCCAAAACCATCACTCTGGAGTAGATTGTCTAATGATGTGTTCTTTCTCGTTTCAGCCTGTTTCCACAGACTTCGCTCAGTATAACAGCTACGGGGACGTCAGTGGGGGAGTGCGAGGTAAGGCCCGTGTGCCTGGGCTGCGGACTGACTGGCTGAGATTGAGATGAGACTGCACGGTCACATCTACATTGACTGGGTTCATACTGTCTGACATCTGAAAGCCAGATCACGGCTAGCCTCTGTGAGCTAGTGGAGCATGCATTAAAATCTCAAAGCAGGAGATAGTCCAAGATGGTGGAGGAGTAGGAGACCTTAGTTTTGTCGGGTCCCAGGAATTCAGCTAGATAGCTATCAAATCAGTCTGAACACCTGCGAACTCAACCTGAGAGCTAAGAAAATAATATCTGCAACTCTACAAATAGAAAAGTGACCACTTTCTGCAAGAATGACAAGACAGAAAAACTCACCTCGGAGAAGAGAACAAGAGGCAATACTGACTGCCAGTGACCTAATCAGTATGGATATAAGTAAGATGTCAGAACTGGAGTTCAGAATAATGATTATAAAGATACTAGCTGGGTTTGGAAAAAGTATAGAAGACACTAGAGAATCCCTTTTGGAGAAATAACAGAACTAAAATCTAATCAAGTTGAAATAAAAAAAGGCTATCGATATGCAATAAAAAATGGAGGTTCTAACAGCTAGGATAAATGAGGCAGAAGAGAGAATTAGTGATATAGAAGACCAAGTGATGGAGAATAAAGAATCTGAGAAAAAGAGATAACTACTGGATCATGAGGGGAGAATTTGGAGAGATAAGTGATACCATAAAGCAAAACAATATTAGAATAATTGGGATCTTAGAAGAGGAAGGAGAGAGGGGGGCAGAATATATACTGGAGCAAAGTATAGCACAGAACTTCCCTAATCTGGGGAAAGAAGCAGGAATTCAAGTCCAGGAAGCACTGAGAACCCCTTCAAAATCAATAAAAATAGGTCAACACCATGACATATAACAGTGAAACTTGCAAATCTCAGAAACAAAGAAAATCCTGAAAGCAGCTCAGGACAGTAGGTCCATAACCTACAAGGGTAGAAACATTAGACTAGCAGAAGACCTATCCACAGAGACCAGGCAGGCCAGAAAGGACTGGCATGATATATTCAGGGTGCTAAATGAGAAAAATATGCAGCCGAGAATACTTTATCCAGCAAGGCTGTCATTCAAAATAGAAGGAGAGATAAAAAGCTTCCAGGACAAACAGAAACTAAAAGAATCTGTGATCACTAAACCAGCCCTGCAAGATATATTAAAGAGGATTCTTTAAGTGAAGAGTGAGCCCAAAAGTTACATAGACCAGAAACAAACAAGACAATATACAGAAACAGTGACTTTACAGGGAATACAATGGCACTAAATTCATATCTTTTAATAGTTACGCTGAATATAAAAGGGCTAAATGCCCCAATCAAAAGACACAGTGTATCAGACTGGAAAAAAAGCAAGACCCTTCAATATGCTGTCTGCAAAAGACTCATTTTAAACCCAAAGACACCTCCAGATTGAAAGTGAGGGCGTGGAAAACCATTTATCATGCTAATGGACATCAAAAGAAAGCTGGGGTAGTAATCCTTATATCAAACAAATTAGATGTTAAACCAAAAACTATAATAAAAGATGAGGAAGGACAGTATATCGTAATTAAAGAGTCTATCCAAAAGGAAGATCTAACAGTTGTAAATATGTATGCCCCTAAAATGGGAGCAGCCAATTATATAAACCAACTAATAACACAATTAAAGAAACACATTGGTAATAATACAATAATAATAGGGGATTTTAACACCCCACTCACTGCAATGGACAGATCATCTAAGCAGAAGATCAACAAGAGGGGCGCCTGGGTGGCTCAGTTGGTTAAGCGACTGCCTTCGGCTCAGGTCATGATCCTGGAGTCCCGGGTTTGAGTCCCGCATCGGGCTCCCTGCTCGGCAGGGAGTCTGCTTCTCCCTCTGACCTTCCCCCCTCTCATGTACTCTCTCTCTCTCATTCTCTCTCTCAAATAAAAAAATAAAATCTTAAAAAAAAAAAAAAAAGATCAACAAGGAAACAAAGGCTTTGAATGACACACTGGACCAGATGGATTTCACAGATATATTCAGAGCATTCCATCCTAAAGCAACAGAATACACATAGTTTTCGAGTGCACATGGAACATTCTCCAGAATAGATCACATACTGGGTCACAAGTCAGGTCTTAACTGGTACCAAAAGATTGGGATCATTCCCTGCATATTTTCAGACCACAATGCTTTGAAACTTGAACTCAATCACAAGATGAAATTTGGAAAGAACTCAAATACATGGAGGTTAAAGGGCATCCTACTAAAGAATGAATGGGTCAACCAGGAAATTAAAGAATAAAAAAAATTCATGGAATCAAATGAAAATGAAAACACAACTGTTCAAAACCTTTGGGATGCAGCAAAGGCAGTCCTCAGAGGGAAGTATATAGGAATACAAGCCTTTCTCAAGGGTTCAAATATACAGCCTAAACTTACACCTAAAGGAGCTGGAGAAAGAACAGCAAATAAAACCTAAATCCAGCAGGAGAAGAGAATTAATAAAGATTAGAGCAGAAATCAATGAAATAGAAACCAAAGAACAGTAGAACAGATCAATGAAACTAGGAGCTGCTTCTTTGAAAGAATTATTGAGATTGATAAACCCCTGGCCAGACTTATCAAAAAGGAAAGAGAAAGGACCCCAAAAAATAAAATCATGAATGGAAGAGGAGAGATCACAACCAACACTGAAGAAATACAAACAATTATGAGAACATATTAGCAACTATATGCCAACAAATTAGGCAATCTGGAAGAAATGGATGCATTCTTAGAGATGTATAAACTACCAAAACTGAACCAGGGAGAAATAGAAGACCTGAACAGACCTGTAACCAGCAAGGAAATTGAAGCAGTAATCAAAAATCTCCCAACAAACAAGAGTCCAGGACCAGATGGCTTCCCAGGAGAATTCTACCAAACATTTAAAGAAGAATTAATACCTATTCTTCTGAAGCTGTTTGGAAAAAATAGAAAGGGAAGGAAAACTTCCAAACTCTTTCTGTGAGGCCAGGATTACCTTGATCCCCAAACCAGACAAAGACCCTAATGAACATGGATGCAAAAATTATCACCAAGATACTAGCCAATAGGATGCAACTAGCCAATAGGATTATTCACCATGACCCAGTGGGATTTATTCCTGGGGTGCAAGGGTGGTTCAACATCCACAAATCAATCAGTGTGATACAGTACATTAATAAAAGAAAGGACAAGAACTATATGATCCTCTCAATAGATGCAGAAAAAGCATTTGACAAAGTATAGCATCCCCTTTCTTGATTAAAACTCTTCACAGTGTAGGGATAGAGGGAATATACCTCCATATCATAAAAGCCATCAGTGAAAAACCCACAGCGAGTATCATTCTCAATGGGGAAAAACTGAGAGCTTTTCCCCTAAGGTCAGGAGCACGGCAGGGATGTCCACTCTCACCACTGTTGTTCAACATAGTACTAGAAGTCCTAGCCTCAGCAATCAGACCACAACAACAAAAATAAATAAAAGGCATCCACATCAGCAGAGAAGAAGTCAAACTCTCACTCTTTGCAGATGACATGATATTGTATGTGGAAAACCCAAAGACTCCACCCTAAAATTGCTAGAACTCATACAGGAATTCAGCAAAGTCTCAGGATATAAAATTAATGCACAGAAATCAGTTGCATTTCTGTACACTGAGACAGAAGAAAGAGAAATTAAGGGAGTCGATCCCATTTACAATTGCACCAGAACCATAAGATACCTAGGAATAAACCTAACCAAAGAGGCAAAGGATCCATACTCAGAAAACTATAGAACACTCATGAAAGATATTGAGGAAGACACAAACGGAAAAACATTCCATACTCATGGATTGGATGAACAAATATTGTTAAGATGTCTGTGCTACCTAGAGCAATCTATACATTCAAAGAAATCCCTATCAAATACCATCAACTTTTTTCACAGAGCTGGAACAAATAATCCTAAAATTTGTATGGAACCAGAAAAGACCCTGAATAGCCAAAGGAATGTTGAAAAAGAAAATCAAAGCTGGTGGCATCATAATTCCAGACTTCAAGCTCTATTACAAAACTGTAATCATCAAGACAGTATGTACTGGCACAAAAACAGACACATAGATGAATGGAACAGAACAGACAACCCAGAAATGGATCCTCAACTCTAAGAACTATGGTCAACTAATCTTCGACACAGCAGGAAAGAATATCCAAAGGAAAAAGACAGTCTCTTCAACAAATGGTGTTGGGAAGATTAGACAGCCACATGCAGAAGAATGAAACTGGACCATTTTCTTAACACCATACACAAAAATAGACTCAAAATGGATGAAAGACCTAAATGTGAGACAGGAATCCATCAAAATCCTAGAGGAGAACACAGCAACCTCTGTGACCTCAGCCACAGCACCTTCCTGCTGGACACGTCTCATGAGGCAAGGGAAACAAAGGCAAAAATGAACTATTGGGACTTTTATCAAGATAAAAAGCTTTTGCACAGCAAAGGAAAAAGTCAACAAAACCAGAAGATAACAGAATGGGAGAAGATATTTGCAAATGACATATCAGATAAAGGCTAGTATCCAAAATCTATAAAGAACTCATCAAACTGAACACCCAGAGAACAAATAATCCAATCAAGAAATGAGGAGAAGACGCAACAGACATTTCTTCAAAGAAGACATACAAATGGCCAACAGACACATGAAAAAGTGTTCAACATCGCTCGGCATCAGGGAAATCCAAATCAAAACCTCAATGAGATACCACCTCACACCAGTCAGAATGGCTAAAATTAACAAGTCAGGAAACAACAGTTGTTGGTGAGGATGTGGAGAAAGAGGAACCCTCTTACACTGTTGGTGGAGAATGCAAGCTGGTGCAGCCACTCTGGAAAACAGTATGGAAGTTCCTCAAAAGTTGAAAATAAAGCTACCCTATCACCCAGCAAATGCACTACTAGGTATTTACCCCAAAGATACAAATGTAGTGATCCTAAAGGGCACCTGCACCCCAACATTTATAGCAGCCGTGTCCACAATAGCCAAACTCTGGAAAGAGCCCAGATGTCCATTGACAGATGAATGGATAAAGAAAATGTGTAATATGTACAATGAAATAGTACTCAGCCATCCCATCAAAAAAAAAAATGAAATCTTGCCATTTGCAACGATATGGATGGAATTAGAGGGTATTATGCTAAGCGAAATCAGTCAGAGAAAGACAATTATCATATGATCTCACTGATATGTGGAATTTAAGAAACAAAACAGAGGATCATAAGGGAAGGGAGGAAAAAATAAAACAAGATGAAATCAGAGAGGGAGACAAACCCAAGAGATTCTTAATCATAGGAAACAAACTGAGGGTTGCTGGAGGGGAGGGCAGTGGGGGGATGGGGTAAATGGGTGATGGACATTAAGGAGGGCACGGGATGTAATGAGCACTGGGTGTTATGTAAGACTAATGAATCACTGACTTCTTCTGAAACTAATAATATATGTTAATTAATTGAATTTAAATAAATTAATAAATTGTAAAAAATCGCAAAGCATCCCTACTGAAATGAGACCATGAGAAGCAGGGTGTGTAAGAATGAATTCATTGCTCCTGCCACGTGCTGAGCACTCAATGAGAGAGATACCTGGTGTTACAGTGTGCTCTAAGCAAGATGTAGCCAGGCTGTCAAAAATGCACATGACTGAGTGAGAAACAGGGACAGGTCGGGGTGAGGGGAGAGAAGCTTCCAACGATGCATGCTGGAATCAGAGAAGGCGGAAATACCTTCAGAGTGTCGGGGGAGAGCTTCCGTGAGGAAAGGGTATTTTAACTGATCACGGCAACTGGAACAGGCCTTTCCTGGCTTCAGGGGGGCAGGGAGGTAGTGTGTACAGAGACCCCCGCAGAGAGGAGCGCAGTGCATTGGAGAATGGGGAATTGTAATAGGATATGGTATATTAATATTTCCATGTTTTTCTATGAGCTTTCCCCTCTGATATTTTCTTTTTCTTTCCTTTCTAGACTACCAGGTATGGAACACTGTCTTTCTCAAGTTGGCCACACCAGTAAAACAACCATTATCCAATGCAGACACGGGTTGCTGCTCCACGGAAGGGTTTCTGTTGAGAAGATCCTTATTTGGTTTGATCTGTCTGGTTCATTAGTCCATAGATGCGAGGAGCCATGAGGATCAGGCATGCCTGGTGCCAACATCAAGCTGGCTCTGTAGGCCTTGGGGATGTGGCGTGAACCAGGCCAGGTGTCGGGGGACTCTTGCTCTGGCCTCAGAGAGTCCGCTCTGGGGTGGAAGTATACCAACATCAAGGGCCTGCTCAAAGACAGTTTTGCCTTTTATTCATAACCGCTCAGTACTTTTGGTCCTCTCCTCCTTCCTGTGGTCCCGCTGTCTTGGCCAACAGGAAAGAGCTGCTCTAGTACCATTCCCTTTTTCCTGGACCCTAAACCTTATAAAATTATGGTGGAGAATGAGAAAAGAGGAAAAAATGCAAAGAAAACGAAGAGTGAAATAACACAATCACTGACATGGCACTTTTTTGATAGATCATATACTTGCATGCATGGATCCTAAATTAGGAATTAGTCAATAGTTAGTAAGCCAGGATCTGTCCCCAACTTGATGATGAAAGAACAGTATTCCCAGTATTCCTGCTTTTATGCAGCAAGGATCTCATTTTGAAAAATGTGTGGTGATTAAAGTGACACATCTACAAAACAGTGAGGATTTGAGACCCAAACAGGGAGTTTTGGGAGGCCACAGAGTTGCCCCCACAGCTCCCGATGCTGTCGTGTGTTCCTCCTTAAACCAACTTTTCTATTGCAGACTCTCCCAGATGGCCACATGTCTGGGACGAGAATGGATCGAGGGGTGTCCATGCCCAACATGTTGGAACCAAAGGCAAGTGTAGCCATTCTCTCTGCTCTCACATGGGGACAGCAAACCGGGCATAATCCTGAAAAGATTTGGTTTTCTCTTTTTCCACCATTCTCAGTATTGAGGCCTACTTGCTTCCAGGCTGATACATTAGACAAACCATGTCACAAAGTACCTGGACATTCACTGGTTTTGTCACACTGAGTCAACAGGTTTAAGTCCTCACAGGGTGTGGTACTGTGTGTTCATAGTGAAACACCAACACACCTCTCCTATGAGCTTAGTACTCACTTGTCCCCTGCCCTGAGCACCACGAGGCATGCCCAGTGCTAAGTGGGGCAGCTGCCAACCACTCGAGATAGAGTGACCAAGACATCCCATTTGGCTAGGACTTTCCCAGTGTTAGCACTGGAAGTCTAGCATTCCGGAACCTCCGCAGTCCTGGGCAAACTGAGATGGTTAGTTACCCAAGCTCCAGACCATCCTGAAACTCCAGAGGTGTCCAAGGCTGTACTCCCTAGTGACGATAACTGGGTTTTATTTCAACGTCCTCCACCAGAACTCCTGCTTCTGGGTCAGCCTGGTTCCATGAAATCGTGAGTCAGTCGTGGAACAAGATTGTTGAACCCTGCAGAGGTACCCTGGCCATATAAACCGTGCTCCTATCATTTCTAATTTTTACCTCTACCCCCAAGACATAATAAGTGTATTCTTTCACTCAACAAAGCCCTCCAAAGACACAGGGCTACATGAGACATGATGAGTTGAGAAAACATAAGAACTGGTCCCTGTCCATGGGATATATGAGGAACACCCATCACTCAGATACCATAATCATAATGTCTTAGAAGCTCTGTCTTGGGAGTACTAGATTTTAGGTAGATTCTGCTTGTTAATAAAATGGACAGCTGTCTAGAAGAGGTGTTTCTCTTTGCTTCTCAGATATTTCCATATGAAATGCTGATGGTGACCAACAGAGGGCGCAACAAAATCCTAAGAGATGTGGACAGAACCAGGCTGGAGGTAAACTAACTAATCAGTCCCAACCGCAGATACCTGTGCATTTCCCCCGACTTTCCCCTAAGAAATGTTTCAATGAAGGCAAAAAAAAAAAAGGAAAGAATCAACCTCTCATGGTAGGTAGAACGAAGATAACTCGGGATTGAAAACCCAAATAATATACACTTACGAGATCAGCCTAAATGTGTGATGAAACCCAGAAGATGAGCCAGGAGACACAGTATGATTTAGTCATCTTCTGCGGAAGCCTGATGTTGCCGTAATTATGGCTGGTGTTGTAGAATGTAATCCCATCCCTCTTCAGATATCCCAGCGCCTGGGTTGAGCTCGTTGAGAGAGGGAAGGAAGTGCTCAGTAACGAGGTTTGCCCTGGACAAGTTTCCCTCTTGGCTGTTTCCGCGTTGCTTGCTGAAGGGTTATCTGGGTGTACATGCCCAAGACCTCCTTAGACACGCAAGGCTGATCATACTTTTCCACTTGAGTGATTTTAATTAAGAAAAGCTCTGGCTGCCAGTCTTATAAAGAATCATTACTTTTCCCTGACAAAAGGCAGTACCTTTGTATGTGAAGTCAGTCTGGCACAGAGAATAAAGGCTCTGCTATCCTAAGGGAACTTTTTAGGAGGGACGACAGATGGAATCCATTCTCCTGGTAGACCAGGTGTCCAGCAGAACTCCTGCTGCTGCTGCTGCTGCTAAGCCAGGAGGAAGCCCCAGGGCTCCCCAGATGCCACTCTGGAAGTCTCTGTCTGGCTTTCTTAGTGCTATGGTCCATTTTCCCTGCATCTTCTCAACATCCCAAGGACCTGAAGTGGAGTTGCCTCCAGCATAATGACTCACCTTCCTATGTCCTATCACCATAGAGCATATGACAATGATCTTTAATACTCTGCCAGCTCTTTTGTCTGCTGGGGAGGGTGCCTCACCTGGGCCAAGCAGGTAAGGAGCCAGTTGGTCCAGTGCCTGCTAACCAGCCTCAGAGGTAAAGTCCTCTGCCATCATTCTGCCTTGCTCTTCAAAATGATCGCTTGTAGACTCGAGAACAAGTCTCAAGGCCATCCACGTGGCCATCAGGACTGACCACTATTCTTTCTCCCACCCACAGCGCCACTTAGCCCCAGAAGTGTTTCGGGAAATCTTTGGAATGTCCATACAGGAATTTGACAAGTTACCTCTTTGGAGACGCAATGACATGAAGAAGAAAGCAAAACTGTTCTAAGCCCGCCCCCCCCACCCCCACCCCGCTGTGTAGACAGCAGTTAGGAAAAAGACTGATGTGGCGGCGACACATAGGATGTTGTGTTAAGGCCCAACTTGATTGGAGAATTTGCAAACTACTGTCCCTCAACAACAACAAAACGGGAAACCTGATTAAAACACCCATAAGCCAAATATTGGGCCAACCACTGGCAACACTTGCCAAGAAGTAACGGGGTCGAAACTTCTGTGTTCCCCACACTCGACAGTAGTGTTCACATGTGACCTTTTGACATCACCTTATGTACACAACAGGAGCTACTTCTTTCATTTCCTTTATTGTCTAACCAGAGTGCTGACTGTATGGGTGAGAGCCAGCAAGTGCCCTTAGGATGCCTCATGGAAAAAAGCAATTGTAATCATTCCGAAGTAGGAATATATTTATTATGTAGCACCATGGCTAAGAAGGAAGAGCCTGAGGGACGTATCCATGTGGTTGCACCACTTTGCACACCCCTGTCCTCACTGGCCCCACGAAGCCCGGCCTGGGCCCCAGCAGGATAGAAATCAGAGTCGGGGAACTGGGCAGCTCTGAGTGAGTGGGCTGAATAGCAGCCAAGGTCATTTTTAACAAGCTCCTTTTCCTCTACTCTTTGCTAGGACCTGGTTGGCAAATCACTTAGCTATTACTAAAAAAAAAAAAGAGAAAAGGAATGAAAGGAATATCTCCCTTAATCCTTTTTCTGCAGTAGCTTGTGTGCTTCATGCTGCCTCCCCACCACTGCAGGCCCCCACTGCAAAGAAAGGAAAGGGAGAAATTATCTCCATTTGTGTGCTGTTAGATGATTTTTGTCCCAGGGCCACAGCACTCTTGGCAAAAAAAAAAAAAAAAAAAAAAAGGGAAAGAAAGAAAAAGAAAAATTCTGTGTCCCGCCAATGCAAGTTCTTCTACCCTGCATCCTCTGCTTTTCATCCAGTGTCCCTGAATCTGATCAAGCCCACATGGATTTTGGATTTTTTTTTTTTTTTTTGAGGTCTTTTCAGTAGTAGGCTAAGGAAAGACACGCTTTGCTCTTGGAAATCTCTGCAACTCCAGGGTATATTGCCTCAGATTGATTTAATTTGGCCTTTTCTGCTTTCCTTCTTGCCTAGCTCTGTTGACTTCACAGTGTGTGTGTGTGTGTGTGTGTGTGTAAGTGAACGCACCCAGCGTAGTTAGGGGAGTCTGCATGTTCTTTTATATTTCACCTCTGCTTGAATGTTTGTCCCGCTGTGCTGCAGCTTCTGAGGGACGTTTGCACACATGCACATGACTCAGAGGTTGGGGTTGAGGCTCCACCACACACGACGGCATCCTCTGTGGAAGGGTGTCCGTGTCAGAAGCCAGCATCCCCCGTGATTCATGTAGCTCAGGTCAGCAGCACAGTGAAGAGCCCAGACCTCAGATCAGGCTGTACATGGACATCGGAGTGTCACACCGGAGTCCGAAAATTCAGCAACACCAGATTCGAAGGGGAGCCTAGGATTTCACCGAAACTCGCATGTGAGACCCCATTGTGATTCCTGGACGCCTCTGGCCGTGACTCAAGTGAGCGGTGAGGTAGACAAGGGAGGGTATCTCCATCCAGCTCCACACATGGGTGGTTTTCACATTTATTCTCATGCTTTGGGGGCTCTGCCTAGGAATTTAAACTCTGTTTTAAAGCCAGAGGAGAAATTGTTTGAATTCTCTTCATATGCCGCTTCTAATTAAAGCTCAGAAATTCTTCCTGTTGCCACCAAATATTCAAATTAGTTAGTAGCCAATCTCCATGGTAAAAAGCAAGTAAAAATCGTTTTGGAGCCTGTGCTGCAGACCTATAACTTGGGACCTACTCTGTCACCTGGGTGCTATGATGGGCTCTCTGAGGGCTTTATGCCTCCCCTGTGCTCTTCCCGAAGGGCTTGGAAACGGCCTGTTCTTTCAGTGCTGCACACTGAATGTTTGAGGACCGTTCTCACAAATACGAGCATGCATGTGTGCACGCGTGGATGTGTGTGTGGATGTGTGTGTTGAACTTACTAACATATTTTGCAAATGATTCTGATGGAGCAGACATGAGACGACCAGCTCCTCCTTGGGCTGAAGCCCCTAGATTGCACCTTGCAGTTCGGTGCCTTCAGTGGCCTCTTGCTTTAATTCAGTATTTCTGCTGTTCCATCTTCACTCTGATCTCTCTGGCAGCGGCAGCCTCAGTATAATGCCTGCATATCCTAGTCCTTGCTTTGCTCTGGCAAAGTGTGAGCAGTGGGGACCATGGTGCATTCCCAGTAATCAACAATGAGGATGGCCAGATGGGTCCCAGTGCTAGGCTGGTGCAGAGAATTTGTTCATTACGGGGATCATAAAGGACCGTCAGTGTTGTCGTTGGTTAATGAGTTATGACCCATGCACATGCCGAGCAAATGTCAGTGTGAGAAAAATTGCAATGATAGTTAAAGATCTGAACCCAAAACCTGCTCCCACCGACGAAACTCTACTTTTCTCATCTCCTTTGAATTCAGTTCTGCATCCAACTTGGGGGCGGGGGATGGGAAGCTTCTTTCCATATCAAGTGTATTAGCTAATTTAAAACTATACCATGCAAAAAAAAAAAAAAAATGCATTACCAGAAAATGTCAGTAGCCTCCTGTTGCAAGCAGCACGGTGCTATGCTCTGGGGAGGGGTCATGGGAAACCATAATGTGGACTGGGTTCCCTGGCTCCACTCCCAGCAGGAGGCTCCAGCTGGAGGGATGGGTCATGGGGCAACCTAGTTCTCCTAACTGCCAAATCTAATATATGGCTATGATGGCCTATCCATTTTTTTTTTTTTTAACTGGACTCAGCATGCTTGTCCTCAAAATGTCCAGGCCGCTGTACAGGAGATCAGGGTTCTCTGCTTGAACCCCACTCTGCACTGCACATAAAAATTCCAGTTGTTAATGCAGTCCAAGGAACAGGATTATTCACCCTGGGGGAGGACTTCTACACGTGGCACACGTGGCAAACTTTCCTGGTCCATACCCCAAGGGCTACATTTTTGAGCACTGGGCTTATTTGTGATTGTTTAAACACACAACACCTGCATGAAGCAAAAGAGGTCTCTGACAACGTGAAAGTCAGTGCTTCCTTTAAAGTTTCTTCCACAAGAGCCGGGATACCATTTATTCTTCCCGTGTGGTTTAAGATGAGACCTAAAGAGCATTTGAGAACTTGTAGAACCAGCTATGCATCTATATTTTGGTTTGCGTTAGTTATGAAATGTCCTTAATGTGACTTCTTTGGTAACTAAAGATAAACTGCCTGTTCTCTGAAACCTCCCAACAGAAAAGCCAGGGTTAATGGGTTATACGGTGCATACTCCCTCTGCCACTCTCATTCTCTCAATCTGGGGATGGCCGTCAACTCTACTTCGAGAAGTCTTGCTGGAGATATTTATAAAACTTTCCCCTAATTTCTTTACACTTTAAAGCAAACACCTTTTTCTAAAGAATTGCTTCTCGGATGATTATATAAAATGTATATGCTTTTGCAAGTTAAAAAAAATGGAATTAACCACTTTTGACTAGGTAGGTCTTTCTAAAAATTCTTTCAAAAAGCTTGGTGTTAGTGTTCTGTGCGTGGAAGGGGCAGGCAAGCCCTCTCTCTGACTGTCAGGAAAGATGGTGGAAGGAAGTGAACTCCATGTAACACACCCCCCCTGCCCCCGTGTCGTCTGAGGCAAGCTCTGTTCTTACCAATCACCTCTTCTATATTACTGGTGACTGTTAAATCTACACTTCCTAGGCCAGCCTTGACCTGACTTGATCTTTAAAATTATTTTCTTTTGACAAACCAAGTGTTTGTGAATAAACCCTACAACTCACTCATTAGTACTCCCTTTTGAAGAATGTTCTCTTCAGAAAGAGAGATTATTTCAGGCTTAAGATTTGCTGTGACACCACCTTATAGTGATAATGTACGTTAAGGAAACTAGGCAAATATATAATGAAAAAGAAACGTTTACTTTGGTTTAAAAAAAAAAAAAAAAAACACAAAATCGCTCTTTCCATTTGCTGCCCGGGGAGCCATGAGGAGATGGTGATTGATATGCTCTGCATATGGATTTTTGTGTTTTTATTTGGGTGAGTTTAATTTATAGCAGACTCCAAAGGAAAGGGGGAAGTGGTCCATTTCAGCTGAAAGAAATTTGTAAACAGCAAAATTAAACAAATGCAATGTTTTCTGATGGTTGGTGTAATGGACTGGCAATTGTTATCATGAAATAAAATTCTTCCCAAAAGTGTGTCTCTCGAGAGTGCAGATCCCACAAGTCACTTTCGGAGCCCATTCACCAAAGGTAGCAGAGGACAATACTATACCCACTACCTTTCGGAAAGGTAGTGAGCCACTTAATGATTGTATATGCCTGTCTTACCCCATGGAAGAGAAAACAGTCGTCCACAATCTTGATGTTCTTTTGGGTTCTGTGTACAGACCCGTCCAGTAATAAATGTGTGTGGCATCTGTGAGTTGCTGACAATCCAAATCTCTTGGAGTCCTTTCATTTTAAGTTCAGTTTAATGGAATTTTCTTGCAAGCGTCAGAAGACATCCAGTCAGTTCTTCCTTCCACATATGAGTGTGAGTATTTGGAAGAACCGCTGTGTATAAGATGTGCCCTGTCCCCCGTGAAAGTGTGAGTGGGTGTCGGTCTGCACCCCACAGACCATGGACTAGTGTGCAGAGGCAGGGGCGGCTGCTGGCCCCGCACTGCCATGCCTGACGGTCCCGACCTGCTCCGCGCTCCTGTTGCAGGCGGCACCTGCTACTCCCCGCTCTGTCCTCTGTGTCGCTGCTATACACTCACCACTCAGTGAATAAAGTGTGTGCTTTATTCTGTTGACAGACGCCTCCGTGTCATGTTTCCTTGCTCGCTCCCCTGCACCTTTTAAAGGTCTGTCCCATTTTAAGAAGTACCAGTCTGACTTTCGATGACCAACACAAAACCAGAATCAAACCAGAGCCTTAGGAATGCATTTTTAGCACACAGGAAGGCTGTTGAGAAGGGGAAATACAACAAATTGCAATGGTATATTCCAGGACTGTTTGTCCAGTAATCCAGACCAAATTGACCAGGTTGACTAAAGTGAAAATATGTATTTTTTAGAGGGAGAGTGTATGAGGGGGGGTGGGGGGAGGGAGAGAGAATCTCAAGCAGACTCCTGGCTCACAGCCCTGAGATCATGACCTGAGCCAAAAATCAATAGTTGGATGCCCAACCCACTGAGCTACCCAGGCGGCCCTAAAGGGAAAATATTTAAAAAGAGCTACTGGGCTGTGCTGATCTACCTGGTGTGTGGTTTTGTGACGCAGAGCAGTGACAAGAAGGAGGAGTTGGAGAAGTTTGAGGACAAGAGCTTCTGGACCGCCATGAGTGTGGCCCGCTTACTAAGAAACTGCAGTGCAGTGGTAGAAATATGTCTTTCAGAGTTTTGACCTCCCCTGCGTTATCAGACTCTAAGTGAAGAAAGTCTTCTAGATTTTGATGTACATGTTATTCTCGTTGCCACAATTTTGGGCACGCTAGAAAATGCAAGGGTGTATTTAGACTCGAGATGGCCTCTTCTGACCATAGCCATTCTACTGCGTGTCTGGCAAGCCTGTTGTCTTAGTTCAGGCTGCTATTAACAGA